TTAGTCACCTAGGCATTGGTACCAAGAGCCATTTGGGATGGATGAGGGCAACTGCAACATCTGGATTCGTCAGCACAAGAAAGATATGGACCTGTTGGAGCAGGTGTAGAGGAGGGCCACAAAAATGATCAGAGGGCTGGAACACCTCTCCTCTGAAGAAAGGCTGAGAGAGTTGGGGTTGTTCAGCCTGGAGAAGAGAGAGGGCTCCAGAGAGACCTTATTGCAGCCTTTCAACACTTAAAGGGGGCCTATAAGAAAGATGGGGACAAACTTTTTAGCAGGACCTTTAGCAATAGGACAAGGGGTAATGGTTTTAAATAAAAAGAGGGTGGATTTAGACTAGATACAAGAAGAAATTTTTTTACAATGAGGGTGGTGAAACACTGGAACAGGCTGTCCAGAGAGGTGGGAGATGCCCCATCCCTGGAAACATTCAAGGTCAGGCTGGATGGGGCTCTGAGCAAACTGATCTAGTTGAAGCTGTCCGTGCTCACTGCAGGGGAGGTTGGACTAGATGACCTTTAAAGGTCTCTTCCAACCCAAACTATTCTGTGATTCTCTGATTCTATGAATATGTATAACACAGTTCTTGGAGCAGACTGACATCTTTTTTGAAGGGTAGATCAGCTATCCTGCAGCACCTCTAGTGACACCAGAGATTATTTCAGTTACCTGCATGGCATTCAGGTGTCACTTTAGGTGCTGGGGGTACACTGCAAAGCCTCCCCAGGTCTGTAACGAGTTTAGAAAGCTGACGGGCTTTCTAGGTACCCATAGGTAATACAGGGTGGAAGATAAATGATTAAACAGGCATAGTGGGCTGAATAAAGGGTAAAGACAACAGTGTCTCAATAAATAAAAATTCTTGGTTAGCTGCCAGACTGATATATGGTGACATTAGTTTTTAGGCATAAACTCAGCAGTGTGTGATAAAACTGCAGTTGAGAATCTTTAGAATAGACACATTTTTAAACCAAGGAATTAGGTTTAATAGGCTATCTTGCTGACTTTAAATTTAATCTGATTATAGCACTTGCTGATTAAGGCCAAAATAATGAATAATATTACAGGATTTTGTGATGGTTCAACTCATGTAAGGACAAAAATCATTAAAGCACAGCAGATGTTTTGATTTTTAGCTGTTCTGGCTAGAAATGTAAATATATGCTATATTAGTATTATAATAGCATATATGATAAATATAAACCATTTAAAAGAAGTTTTCTGGAAAGACAAAGAAAATAAAATCTAGAATTGCAACCCCTTTTTCTTATTTCATATGAACAAAATTTTGCTTGATAGCTTTGCAAAGGACATCTCCAAAGGCAATTTTTTTCTGTAGGCCCGTGATTCATGAATTATTCCATAGCACTGATTCTGTTACTCCCAGTGGGTGGCAGGTTTCCCATTTGTAGCAGTTCCAAACATTGTGTTTCCCTTAGTGTCAGAAGAATTGCATGATGAATCTGTTTCATATTAAGTTTTGATTAAACACAGGCATTTGTGATAATTTTAGTTACAATATACTTGTCACAAAAATTACATTTTTATCTTACAAATGGAGTAAAACTTGTTGCTTCTTACTTCGAAGTAAGAATATATTTTTTGATAATTAGAGTAAGGTTTCTTTGATAATTTAGTTAGTGTTATGCCACCCTATTAGACTATGTGCTTAAAAGTGCCTTATTACTCATGGTGGACAAAAAAATGCTCAGATTCAGAGGATTTGTACTGCATGTGAAATCTCTGTTTAGGAACACATTTCTAAATTTTGGTTTGGCTTTTGGCCTAGAAGTAAAGGTAGAAACACAGGATATATGACCTGCTTTTTTACCTTGTCTTCTGCAAAAGTGCAAATAATTCTAATTGGCATAACCAGAGATTATCCATGTAAAAGGAAGTAATAGATTGGGAATAGATAATGACAAGGAAAATTTAATTTTTTAAGCATCCTGGAGCTGATACTACAGAAATTAGTCTTTGTAATTACTGAACTGTGGAAGCTATACAGAAAAAATAACTCTCATGGGAAAAATTCATTCTTTATGACCAAATTAGCCACTTCATTCTCCCTCTTTTGTGCCAACTGACATGTGGAGAATAACTGAAAATCTCCAGCCCATGTACTCTGGAAGTCACTCATATTAGCATAAGTGATAGATTCATTCTTAGCTGAGTGAATGTCAATGAGCCATAAGAGAATTTTAAGGGTCTGGACCAGCTCCTACTGAAATAAGAACCTACGTTCCATGTCCTTCAGTAGTGCAGAGTCAATCAGAAGAAAAAAAAAGGAAAGGAAAAAAAAAAACAACTTAGTTTTACAGTTATTCTTTGAGTTTTATCCCTCTTTGCCACTGATACACAGTTAAATATCTTTCTTATTTTAGGCATGCTTATATAATGGTAAATAATTTGCTGTGTTGGATAAGTATGTGGAACTGTCTTCTCTCAGCCTTGCAAACAGCATAGAAATGTAACCGTGAAAAGCTTTGCTGCATCCTTTCAGTATGAGAAGGTTACTGCCTAGTGGGAGTTTTTTTCAGCATATGTGAGATTCTGTTCTGTATTACAGGTACAGATATTTGTAATTTAGTTTTATATTTTACAACTAGAGAAATTAACTGTTAAATAATTATACGGAGAATTTATGAATGGGTCTGGAAGTTCCTATATGTGGTGATAAATATACCCTATTTCCCTTCTCTTTATTTGTGCAAAAGATCTAAGATGGTTTTGGACAAAAGTTTAGGAAGAAGAATTAAGTTACACAATGTGAGTAGAAGTCTCAAAATGAGGCATTGTTTTCCAGTTTATTATTTTCTCTGATCTCTTCTTTTAATGACAAATATATTGGAATTTTGATAACCTGTAACATGCTCAGGATGTCATTGTTAACTGATGTGCCATTGACCAATGAACTGTCTATGCTTGATAGGGTCTTCATTAACTAGAAGCTGAGTGAGTGGTGGGTTGATCCTGTCTGGATGCCAGATGCCCACCAAAGCTGTTCTATCACTCCCCCTCCTCAGCTGGGCAGGGGAGGGAAAATATAATGAAAGACTTGTGGGTTGAGATAAGGACAGAGAGAGATCACTCACCAATAACCGTCACGGGCAAAACAGACTCAACTTGGGGAAAATTAATTTAATTTATTACCAATCAAAATCAGAGGAAGATAATGAGAAATGAAAGCAAATCTTCAAACACCTTCCCACTACCCTCCCTTCTTCCTGGGCTTAACTTTTCTCCCCATTTTCTACCTCTTCCCCCCCACAGCAGCACAGGGGGATGGGGAATGGGGGTTGCAGTCAGTTCATCACGCCTGCTGCTCCTTCCTCCTCAGAGGGAGGTCTCCTCATACTCTTCCCCCACACCAGCATGGGGTCCCCCTCGTGGGAGACAGTCCTCCATGAACTTCTCCAGCCTGAGTCCTTCCCATGAACAACAGTTCTTCATGAACTTCTTCAGCATGGCTCCTTTCCATGGGGTACAGTCCTTCAGGAACAGACTGCTCCAGTGTGGGTCCCCCACATGGTCACAGGTCCTGCCAGAAGCCTGCTCCAGCACGGGCTTCCCATGGGGTCACAGCCTCTTTTGGGCATCCACCTGCTCTGGCGTGGGATCCTCTGGGGGCTGCAGGTGGACATCTGCTCCACTGTGGACCTCCATGGTCTGCAGGGGGACAGCCTGCCTCACAAGTTGCAGGGGAATTTCTGCTCTGGTGCCTGAAGCACCTCCTCCCCCTCCTTCTTCACTGACCTTTGTGTCCGCAAGGGTTGTTTCTTTCACCTATTCTCATTCCTCTCTCTAGCTGCAAAATATGCTTTTTTTACCCCCTTTTTTTTTATAATTATGTTATCACAGAGGCGTTGCTGATGGGCTTGGGCTTGGCCTTGGCCAGCAGTGGGTCCGTCTTGGAGCTGGCTGGCATTGGCTGTGTCAGACATGGGGAAGCTTCTGGCAGCTTCTCACAAAAGCCACCCCTATAACCTCTGGCTACCAAAACCTTGCCACACAAACCCACTACATGGGTGTAAACTGCAAAACAATGGAACTATCTTTTCCAAACCGGCATTGCACAGATGTAATCCATGTGGAAACTATCAGGTTATTCCTGGTTGTTACATTCATGTTATTTTTTTTCCCCCCAAAGAATGCATTTGTTTTGGTGGTGTCTAGAACAGTCCTCTGTTTTCACTACAGCATATTAATTTCAATATTAGATTAAAATGTGAAATCTGTAAGCCAAATTCATTCTGCAGATTAATGATGGTACAAGTAAGAACAATGTGTATCCAATAAATTTTAATAGTTTTACTTGATAGAGAAAATAGATTAACTGAATGTAGACTACAGTTTTAAGTATGTATGGAGTTTTGTTTTAAAACTGACTCATGTTCAGTTAAATGATCACTGTAAGAAAAATGTGAGATATACTATAGAGCTAAATGAGCAATGATGCTGAGGAAATGACAGAGTTCTTCAAGTATTTATGCAGGTGGAAGCTAGCATGTATAAAATATAATTATAGCTATCTCGTGTTCTGTCACAATCGCTATATTTTAGATAGGAAAATAGGAATTGTCATACTCATGGTCCTACTGAGTAGGACTTTTGCTCTAACTTATGTAGGAAACCTTATGGATATGAAAATTAGTTTCTTCCCCTGTGTCAGTCAGGGTTTTCAGTAAAGCATTGCAGCCCTTAGTGGGTAACCGGGGGCGTGTGAGCCTGCCCAGCAGCAGACATGGACTCCTGGTGCAAAAGCACTGGGGAGTCACTGAACATTAACGTTTCAGTGTATCGCCAGATGAAATAGTTTTCATATTTCCAGCTAAAGTTTTTTTCTCTTATGTATTCAATTTTATATTTCTTACCCATATTTTGAACCCCAATCATACAGCAAATACTAAATTTAAGAGGACTTGAAGCGGGGGTTGTATATTATTTTGTGGAGAAACTATTCCATATATTTAAAAGATTTTCTTTTTCCCCATCAGGGAATTCCTGGAATCCCTGGAAATCAAGGAGCAAAAGGACAAAAGGTATTATCAATAGTTCAAAACACAGTTAAAACCTGTGTGTATATATACCCATTCCAAAGTAAGGGTTCAGTCTGGGCTCAGAGGAGAATTTTCATAGTGGGGATTTAGGACATCAGATCATGTTGCAAATGAATGGAGACCTGCTTCAAATTCTTTGACATAGTTGAAAATTTCTCATTAGATTTTATTTGAACTATTTCAGAAGGAGCAAATAATTTCAAAGCAACAAAGCTGATTTCATAATACTTTGAGAAATAAGCCTAACTAAATAAATTCCATGATTAAAGAATATTTTAAAAATTTGTTAACTATACATGCATTAATTACGGAATTCTTCTCTTTATGTAAAAAATACAGGGTGAAATTGGACCACCAGGTCAACCAGGAGCAAAAGGATCCCCAGGGGATACTGTAAGTTTGCCAAATGGTGTTGTTATGAACAAATAATTCTGATGCTGTCATTCTTTACCTGTAATAAGCAAACAAGCAATGGCAAATACAGTAGCAACCTAGCATTTTCAGGTTGTCACATATGATCAGACTAAGTCTAATCTCTGAATTCCTCCCAAAATATTATATACTCACTTTTCTTTTAAAATTAATGATTTCCTGACTACAGATTTGATAAACAAATCCACCAAACACATTGCTTTGGATTTACTCTCTGAATTAATTAACTTTGCTTTAACTTTGAAAGTACTCAAGTAAATTTATTTTGAAAGACTTTTATTTTAAGACTGACTTAAATATTGTCATAGTGTGCAGTGGATTCCTGAAGATGAATTTCAGGATGCTTTTGTATTAGGGTTTTTTTGACAAAAGACTGTGAGGATAGCTGAGATTGCTGAATTCCCAAACTGCTTAAAGAGAGATTTTTGTTTTGGAATATAGTAAACTGAAAATAATTCATTCTTTTTTGGACAGTCCAGCTTACCACATCTTTGTTATTGTCTGAATAGGGTGATTTCCATGTTCATTGTAGAAATTACAGTAGTTAAATGGTTGTTCTGAAAGTTGGTGCAAGTTTATATAGACTTTAAAAAATGGAAATTTTAAAGGCAAAAGAGACAGCTGCTTAAAACTGGTTAGTGATCTTTCATTACTTAGTAGGAAATTATTCAATGGTTGAACATACGCTGACTTAAAAAATAATTGTCTTTTCTATTGAAAAATTCCATAATTTTTACATGGTTCCATTATTAATCATCTTCACTGTTTACATGCCTTTTTGTAGTTTTTGTTCTGTGCCTGAGATATTTTATCTTCTTTGCTAACATATTTTATCATCTTTGCTGACTAAAATGCTTCTGAGTTTCCTTAGAAATACATGGCTTAGCATCACAAATTTTTATAACTAAATAAATATAACATAAATTTATATTTATAACTTTTTATTTAGTTAATGAACCTGTGTTTCACCCTATATTTGACCTCAAGCAGATCAATATAGACTCTTACTGCTAGAACAAAGTAAATACTGTGGAGAATTAAGTACAGAATTAAGACTGATGCTATTATCTCTATGGACAACAGAGCATTGAATGACTAAATTTTTTTACTCTTCTAAAAAATTTGTTGTTTATTCTTAGTGTATGTAGCCATATGGTAGTATCCGAGATTTTATGCAGTTGTATTCAGACTATAGAATTATTAACACTTGTCAGGGAAAAAATAGATAATACTTCTTGATTTGTAGCAGAATGGCATATGCAAATGTTTTAATGTGTGACAACTGTGGGAAGAAGATCACTTGCTTTTTTCTTGCCTCACGTTGAGATACAGTTGAGATACAGTATACGTTGTGCATGTAACGGGCTGGGCCCTGTCCAGTCCTCATAAAAGAAACATTTGTTTCTCAGAAAGCCAAGAAAGCAGTTCAGTGAAAATAATTAATTGGAAAATTTCAGCATTTTTATAGTGCTGTTATTAGGATAAATATGATTACATGGGAAATTGTAAGATACTGCTTTATTTCTTTAGCTTGGATAATGTATTGAAGCTAAAAAAAATCAGAGTCCAACTCTGTGATTTTAGTTTTAATAACAATAGTGATCAGTTTTCTAATATCTGAACTGGGAAGATGTATCAGATTCTTGTAAATGCTTTGATAGCATTGCTTTGATAAATAAGAGACTAACATATAAACACATTTTACAAAAATTAATCTCAGCAATAATTCTCTTGCTAATTAATTCTATCTGAAAGTGAAGGGTAAAAGGAAGTAATAAATGAAGTTATCAGGACAAAGCTGAGGGATTTGAATAGCAGCAAGAAAGAAATGCTCTGGATAGAGCTTCAGAAAAACCATTAGAAATAAGCAGATGGCATTCATGAAACAGGAGAGACTCAGAAGCTTTGACAGTGATGCCTGCATTGTAGGTACAAATGGCACTGACCATTTTTTTCTGAAATAGGGAAGCTATGGTTAGAAGTCGCAATATTCCTTCTATCAGCAGCAAAAGCCAAGGCTATGGCAAGTGTAAGTTTTAGCTCAGTGGCATATTTGGAGTGTGGAAATAGTGAGTGAAAGCTGTGAACTGTTCTCTCTGGTGCCCTTGCCATTACATTAAACATCATACTTTAGCAGCAGGTGAGAGAACATTGCCAAAGGTTCTTGGATTTTGGTGATTGTTACTGTATTGTTCAGTTTCATAACTTGTCTGTCTCTCAGTTTATCTACCCCATCTCTTTTCAAGGTCTTTCCGTATGAAAATGCTTCATCAGTAGTGAAGTTCCTCTTGACATCCAGCTGTCAGGCTGGATTTCATCCATTCCAAAAGACAAAGGAGTTTCAGATGCCACTTTGTAGTGTTAAAAGTAGAAGAGAGGGCTCATTCTGAACTTAAGGAGATCCATACTTATATCTGCAAGGTCAAATACAGGATAGTCAGTGGCTCTCTAAAAGGGGCTTGAAGTTCACTCCTCAGTCATCAGGATGCCTACTGTTGTACTACTAAAGCCATCCTTTCATTCTAGGACAGGAATAATCTTTTTAGGGACCTTTCTTTTCTGCTGTCAGAGACTCCAGAGAGATTTTTTTCCCACAGTATGCATTTGTTTCAGTGATGTCTAGAACAGTCCTCTGTTTTCACTACAACATATTCATTTAAATATTACATTAAAATTTAAAATCTGTAAGCCAAATTCATGTTGCAGATTAATGATGGTACAGGTAAGAACGCGATTTCTCCACCTTCCCCCCCACCAGAAGCACTGAGGACAGGGAATTGGGGTTGTAGTCAGTTCACCATTGGCGCTCTTCCTTGCATGAAAGTCCAGGAACAGGATGTTCCAACACAAGCTTCCCATGGAGTCATGGACCTCTTTGGGCTCAGCTCCTGGCTCCGGCATGGGGACATCCACGGGCTGCAGACGGGCCTCCCCATCCTCACCCACACTCTGGCGTTGAGCGACTCTTGAGGTCTCAATTCAGTCACACTTGCCTCCCCCCCAACCCAACACAGTATGTCTATCCCATCACAAGTAAACCTCACCATTTTTGAGGTGGTCTTTAATTTAAATTGTCAGGATGATGCTGAGATCATTGATTCCACAAAGAACTCTTAAATCTGTAGTTTATCAAAGTGATTGTGCTGAGTACTGCTTAGTCATGTGGAATCCAAATAGATATGTGGATTATCACTGGAAGAAGCTGAAGAGGTTATTAAACTGTAAATAGACCTTTCAAAGTTGTACAATCCACAGATCTCCTTTCCTATTTCTTTTCTTAATTTTTCACTTTGTTTTACTGGTTTTCATCAAAGAAAATTTGGAAGAACTAAGATTGTGGTTTGTGCTTTCTCCTATATCTCTGTAGATAACCACAAAGGAGAGAGGTCTGAACTTGCCCTCTGGTTTAAAAAAACTTGACTCTGGTTTGCAGATAACAAAGGTTACGTATAGGCATGTGAATGTCTATAAATGTATTGAAGAGCTCACTTCTTTTTCCATACTCACAGTTCCTTAATAAAATATATGATCAATTAAAACCAGTGCAGTCCTGGTGGGAGAGGAACATTGAAACCAGTTTTGAGTTTCACTAATTCAGGGCTACTCTGTCACCCACTACATTCAGAATTTCTTGAACATCATACAGCTACCCTGCATCCACCCAGCAGCTCATCCTTTTGTGACTCTACCACAGGCCTGACCACTACATTAGAGTTGTCAGAAGCCCTTTTGTATAAAGTGAGTACACTGATTAATTTTCTATTCATGAACTTAAAGGTCTTTTTCAGCCACCTAAAAATCTTCTCTGGAAAGAATACGTTTCCTTGACAACCAGTTATTGCATCTGTTTAGATCAAATTTGGACAAAACATTGCCTGAGCTGGAAGTTCAGATGTCCTTACAACTGGTTAACACATGCACATTTGGTCTCTCACCTGTGCCTCTAATAATTTTTATTGCCTATAACTGGAAACTTTTTCTCCATTCCTTTCTGAGCAAAGTTGAACAAAATGCCGGAGGGAAGGCTGTATCATCAGCTGTAATGAAGCCTGGTGGGAATCCAGAGTGTACGAATTTATTCAAGTAACTCACCTACCATGTTTTCTTCAAATTTTATTTAGATAAATAACATCTGGTTCTTGATACACTTGAAAATAATTTATTAAAGTTTCCTGTCAACTCATTTAATGTATCTTTTGTCACCTGATAAAATAAGTACAAAATTGATGCATGGAATATTTGAATACTTTATATGGCGTTAGGGAATTTCAACCAGAAAAGATAGTGGGATTTTCCTTGTATTAGTCACACTGAATATGTTTGTTCCAGAAAAAACAGATGGGAAGCTTGTGAATGGTCTATTAATACCTTGGGAAAATTCTTCAGTAACAACTTCTTCTTCTTCAGCAATAACTATCCCTATTACATTGCCAGCATCAGTAATTTATTAATTTTTCTGCTGCCTAAATAGTGTCAGCTCTGGAAAATGGGGGAGTAATGCTACATTTTGTGTCCTTGAGTTGTTCTTTATTTTTATTCAGGACGTGTTCTTCTCTTTTAATTTTACATGCCATAGTTTTCAGATTATGTTCTCAAGCTTTTCTATATTGCATCTGAAAGTTTTCTTCTTGCAGGATACTGATTTTATGCAGTCATCTTCCTGTGATTTTTTAAATAAAATATGTTAAATATGGCCTAGTAATGAAAGTGCAAGAAAGGAAGCCAGGACAACTGGCTTTTATTTCTGCCTGACCTTTAATTTTACTAAACATATTTTCTGATTTGCCTTCTCTACTATATGTTTGCAGTTCAATGTGGATATATACACGTACCTGATTTTTAAAAGGACTATTCTGTACATACAGTATTTCCACTTTCTACAAAATAAAATAAATGAGGGACATTTGTGGTGAATATTTACCACTTCTGTACTCCGAGGACTGGTGTGGGCATAAACTAGAAGTGATCTAATGTGGAGCTGGTAGAGGGTAGGCTCTCAACAGCATGTTACATGACTTGAAACACAGGGCTACACTGAGGTGGCAACGTGAAAGGAGGCAGAAATTCCCCTGTCAGATTTCTCATCCCTTCCCGCTATCCCTCCCCAAACTTGTGCTTGCTTTTCTCTGCTGATTAATGTGCTGGTAATGAGCACAGAACAGGAATCTGAGGAGAAGATAATAATAATTTCACAGTGTTTTTTGGACAAGGAAGGTAGCCTTCAAGGAATGCAAAAAAAGATCATACAATGAAGACAGCTGCATTTTAGAAGTGAGGAGGTCAACATTTAACACAAAATTTGATTTAAAACAGACAAATTAAGCCTTACAATGAAATAAAAATTAATAAAACTTTATTTTACTATGTAAATAAAAAGAGTAATAGAGAAGAAGCAGGCCTGATGTACAAGTGAATTAAGACAGTCTTAATATAATCAAGGTTAGGTTCCAAAACCAAATTAATATTTTCTTATGCTTCCTGTAGCAAAGCTGGTGCTAAACAGGCCATAAGCAAATGGTTAATGGGAATACACTGACTCTTCAGTTATGAGTAGAAACTTAACTCTAGCTGGAGGGGAATTGGTAATTTCTGTTCCAAAATTATGAAAGAAATAGCATAGGGCATAGTAAACCTTTATTTTCCAAACAATACATTACATTAAGGGCAGTTAATGACAAAACAAGGGGAAATGGGTTTAAGCTGAAAGAGGGTAGGTTTAGATTAGATATTAGGAAGAAGTTCTTCATTGTGAGGGTGGTCAGACATTGGAACAGGTTGCCCAAGGAAGTTGTAGATGCCCCTCCCTGGAAGTGTTTAAGGCCAGGTTGGATGAGGCTTTGAGCAACCTGGTCTAGTGGAAGGTGTCCCTGCTGATGGCAGGGGGGTTGGAACTGGATGATCTTTAAGGTCCCTTCCAATCCAAACCATTCTATGATTCTATGATTAGATTAACTGAATCCTCTTTCATTAGATGACTGGACTAATTTTGTACTTAAGTAAGAACAAGCAGATCTAATCTTCAAAGTTCAGTAAAGTGTTGGAAATTATTTGATGTATGATATTATTAGTTATTTTACAGAAATTGAAGTTTAATAAAAGAATTTTCATGTGCAATTGACTGAATGGGAGAAGTCTGAGACTGAGGAAAATTGGCAGCAAAGTTACTCGAGTTTTAGTCTTGTGATTGATACCATTTATTTGTATTAACAGACCTGTTTCTGTGGCCTAAAGAGCAAATTGCTGTGTTTATTGATGGAAAGTTTTGTTGACCAGTGCTTTTGTACAACAGAGCAGGAAAGAAACCTGAGTTAATCTGTGCTGCCTCAGTTATTAGTAAAGCACAGGTGAAATACCAGAAAATTGATAAAATGCTGAAAACCCTGGCTACAAAGAATTACTTCTTGTTACAAATACTCTGAATTTTATTGTATTTGCAAAAACAAAGCCATCCTTTTATTTTTAGCAAAGAAAGTTAATAAGTCACAATCTCTGTAACAAATTACTGTAGGTTTTTACATTTATTTTTGATCACATGTAACTTCTGAAGGAGGTCTGAGATAATATCATGGAACTCAATAGTTCCTAACATGTAGTACTAAATGGAAGGTGGTTGTTTTTATCGATATGAAAGCAAAGATTAAATAACAATAATAACGTTTTTTGAAAATACTATCAATTAGAATAATTGATAAAACTTAATCTCTGACAAGTTAGATTTCCAAACCTTATTTAATTGTTTGACTTTCTGTATTATTATGCTTTTATTTTATGCTGTGTCTTAAGTACACTCTTACAGCAGATTATATTTCAGAGTATATATGCAAGTCCAAATAAAATAATAATAATATATTTATTTATTGACACATGCAGTTCTAGAGTCAAAGACAAGTGAGATGAAGTGGTGAGAAAGACATTAACACCAGATGTGGAAAATACTATAAATGGGAGTTCCTTCCTGGAAAGTATGATTTTGAAAAAGGTTTTCTTTTCTACTGTATGCTTGAGAGCAGCTCTAAACAGAAATTTAAAAAAGACAACCATTTGATGGTTTAACACCCTTTAGCTCTAATTTTACATATGGAACAAAGGCAACTAAACATGCCTTTACCAACATGTTTCCGTGAGAGGAGTCTGAGAGACTACTTTGGAGGTGCTCTGGCTTCTGTACATGTGCTGAAGGGTCATGATCTGAAATAGCAGAAGCTATTGGGTTCTGAAGGTAACAGTTCGATCCTGAAGATTCTGCAGAAGATGCAAAGGTGTGGCCCCAAAGTTAACTGCTCCAGATAAATCTCCACAAAGTTTGCAAAAGGAGTCAAGGCATGGCAACATTTGAGGGACACATGGTCAGAAAGAAGGAAGATAATTGTGAAATGCTACATATACTTTTGCTGGTTTTGGGGACCCTAAATGTAAACTAAGAAGCTCTTGTATCACTTCAATTATAGCTAAGGACATATTAGAGATAGGTTAAAGATTAGATCAGTGTAGACAGGGTTTTAAGTTGCAGATTTTTTTCTCTGCAGAGTTTCATGACAGGATTGTGCTTTTTTCCTGCGTGTTTTTTTCCATTGCACAGTAGGCATTCCTTAGGCCATAGAAGGTCTAAATAATCCACTGTGCTGTGTCAGAGCTACAGCTTGTATAGTAATATGATGAAAAACATTATATTCCTGTCTTATTTATTTCACTATAGAAATATAATACTAATTCTACTAACACTAATTCTACTAATATGCTATATTGGAGCTGTTATTCCTCTAGCTTAGTACAGCAATGTTTCTGCCTTTTTCACAAATTAATAGGGTTTGATGGGACCAGAAGGCTCATTTGGTCTACCTGGAGCTCCTGGGCCTAAGGTAAGTGTTTGTGTTAATTTGCTTGTGACTGTGATAAATGACTGCTTTATAGATGACAAAATGCCAGGATTTTGCAGCTGATTTT